AGAACGATCCTGAGGCGCAGGAGGCTTTCGCAGACGAGCAGGTGATTGGTCACTCTTGAAATTGCTTTCTTTGGACATATGTTCCGATGAACTCGTCACAAACGGGCGCGTGCAGAAACAGAGCATTCACTCTGTTTTTGAGATGAAAAAGGAAATCCACAAACACAATTCGGTCGCACCCCATCCGTGGAACCATCGTCGGGACACCAACTTGTACCTAAATTGGTACTTCGAGGGATGCAATCGAGCGAAAATGCAGAATGAAGAGTGGGAGATGGAGTAACCGGAGGTCAGAAAAGAGCTAAAGACTAATTGTTCGAACTTCGAAGGGTTTATGGATGCTTTCTCATAAAAACGTTTCAATTTGCAAAAAAGTAACAGAGAGGAACGGATTGACGTACCTGGCGAAGTTGATGGAGAAGGAACAGGATGAATTACAGTTCAATTGCTTGGTGACTGTAATGGAGATTGCGGCGGCCGCCTTAACTGACGCCAATTTCAGACACTCGGCGTTTAAGATTAATTCTCCAGGTGTAAGAGCCGTAGTAGATCAGCTCTTGAGGGTGATCAAAGAATCGACTAGCCCTAAATTACAGATTCCGGCGATCAAATCGATCGGTTACTTGGCCAGGATTTTCCGGCGAAAGAGACCCGAGTGATTGATTCCCTGGTGGCGCAGCTTTTCAGTAAGTACCGTGATGTGGCGGAGGAAGCAGTAATCGCTTTGAAGAAATTTGTCTTGCCGGAGATAGAGCACGGAAATTTAACAATCAAACTAAACGATAGGGCAGCGCATGGTGGGTATAGCTAACCTTTTGCGGATGCAAGTGGAAGTTGGTGGCTTGGAAAAGAGCTGTATCAGTGTGAGAGGAACTGGGAAGTGTTTTCTGGATTAGGAAATGGCGTAGTAGCGTGGAAGGCTTGGAATTGACAAATATATATAGTACATGAGCGTAAATGGAAATAATTTAGATTCTTTGCAAAAAATAATAGTTCTCAATATTAATTATAGAATAATTGTACTTTGTGGGTCCTAAAACACATACTTTCAATTTACTTGTTCTAATTTAATTTTTAGATAAAGTTTAATTAGATTATTTTATATATTAAATAGATAATAATTAAAAAA